AAGAAGAGAGAAAGCTTAACAAGTTGAAAGCGCCTTGCTATGAGAAGTGAAAATGGAGAACAGAAAGAGATGAAACAGAGTGCTGTTTTTCAATACAAGCCTTGTTTTTGTTTTGTTTTGGTACCAGGGATCAAACTCAGAACTTTGCACTTGTGAGGCAGGCACAGGGCCATTTAGCTAAATCTCCGGCCCTCAATTTTTTGGTGGGTACTGGGGATCGAACTCAGGACCTTGCACTTGTAAGGCAGGCGGCAGGCAGCAGCACCACTGAACTAAATCCCTGACCCAATATAAACCTTTTTTGTTTTTGCTTTTGAGACCAGGCTGGTCTCAAACTATGGACTAAAAAAGTGATCCTCATGCCTGAGTCTCTCAAGTGTTGGGACTAAAGACACAAACCATAACACACATGGCAATATAAGCAGGCCTATACAGCTACTGGATTTCCTAAAAGTAAATTTACTTTTAAAACGCAGAAGAGGACTTTGAATTAAAGTAACAGCAACACATGAAATCACAAACAGATATGAACTTTAAAGCTAAATGATTCTGCCAGGTGTGATGGTACATGCCAGTAATCCCAGTACTTGGGAGACTGAGGCAGGAGGATCACCATGAGATTGAGGCCAGCCTGAACTACATAGTAGGTTCAAGGCTAGGCTAGACTACACAGCAAGACTCTGCCTCAAAATAAATAATAAATAAAGCTAAGGGAGTATAAATTGTTTCTGGTGGTGCACACCTATAATCCCACCACTTTAAGGCTGAGGCAGGAGGATCACCAAATTTGAGGCCAACTTGGGTGACAGTGTGTTTCAGGCCAGCCTAGGCTATACCAGAGTGTCTCAAAACAAAGCAGGAATTCTGTATGTCAAAAAGAATTTTACAGTGCAAATTTAAAAGCAAATTAGTGCTAGCCTTTGTTTACTGTCCAGAGTAAATTCAGAACTTAGAAGCATAAACAAAAAGCAGAACAAAGTCACTTCTGAGGTGAGTAAAAGAGAAAGAAACAGCAAGGATCCTATTGGGCTGTGAGGCAGCAGGAAGAAACACTGGCTAAATCAAGTAGGTCTAGCTTGGATTCACACACAATAAGGACATATTCCAACTAGGCGTGGTGATACACACTTGCTATCCCAGCACTCTGGGAGGCTGAGGCAGGAGGATCACAATTTGAATCAAACCTACGAAATTTATTGAGACCCTGTCTAAAAATGAAAAATCTTAAAAGGGCTGGAGATGTAGTTCAGTGCAAGGGCCCTGGGTTCAATCTCCAGTACCACACACACACAAAAAAAAATTCGAGACTGTTTCCCTCCTGATGATCCCCAACTTGTAAGGGTAGTTTATACAAACAATAAGCATGAAAACAAAATCTGAGGCCAAACACAGCCCCTAAAATAGTAGCAAGGACCCAATTTCAGGAACATTTCACTGCTAGTTCTGTGTATAGGGTGTGCACAGCTCAGATGACTGCCACCACCCCTACCTCATTTTAGAAAGAAAGAAAGGTTCTCACTGGGGCCTTGAGGATCAGGCTATAAAGAGCCAGAATGGGGACCAGGCTTTGCTCCCTCAGAATGACAATGACCCTTAAAACAACAATACAACTCCAGCTCTGTTTATTTCTGTACATTGAAAGTAACAAGTTCTCAAGCCAGCAACAAGCATGCCCATTCTGATCCTGAGACAAATGGGGCAAAAAGAAACTCTGCGATCACTTTGGTCAAAGAATGACAAGTGTTCTGGTTTAGAAATAACTCTGCTGTTAGCTCACTGGTGTGGGTCTCCAAATGCTTAACCTAAATTTAATAGGGGTGGTGATTAAGGATACTTTATCTAAATCATTTAATAAATCACAAAAAGGAGTTCAGTGCTGAGCAAGCCTAACAACTGACCAGGAAAAATTAGGAATGTAGCCTACTCCAAGGGAAAATACTCATGGCTGTGCATTCATCTAATTCATCCAGGCCAAGGTTCAGGTCCTAGGGCTGACAACGGAAGCACAAACACAAACAACCCTTATCAAGGGTGCTCCTGCTTGGACCTTGCACCGGTTGGAAAGCAGGCCAAGGTTCATCTTACAACTGGCCAATAGCAGCCTTGTTATGATTTCTGACAGACAGCACACTAATACAATTAGGTTTCTTTCTGGCTCTAAACAGTCTGTTGTTGTACTCAGTTATTCAGTGACTGATTTGATTGGTACCAGTAATCGAACTCAGGACCTTGTGCTTGCCAGGCAGTCATAGAGCCACTGAGCTAAATCCCTGGCCCTGCACACTTAAAAAAAAAAAAAAAAAAAAAAAATCTATGAGCTCATATAGCAAAAAGTTATTGGGCTTCTACAACTTCTATCCTAGAATGCAATAACACAATGTTGTGTACCTCTTTGTGACAAATAAAAGAATCTTATGGCATCTGCAATGTTTTTGTGTGGCCAAATCAGATTATCTTCAGGGTGATATATTACAACTTTAAAAAATTAATCCATTCCTCTACATTAAATCTCAGTTCCCAAGAACATACAGTCTTCCCTTCTCCCTTCCTTTGAAAACTATACAGTTCTTACTGGTGAAGGGGGTAAAAAGAATTACATGATTAAAATCTATAGATTGGTAAATGACAGATTTCCACCTCATGCTTCAAATTTCCATAAAATTATCTACCAGTTACTAAGAAACCACTGACTCTGATGAAATGCAACGCCAGGTTTGCCAAACTATGCTCAAATGAACCAATACTTAGGGTAAAATAAGATGAGAATAAGAAAGGTGGAAAAGGTATAATGGAGATTACCCTGCAGTTTTTTGTTTTTTGTTTTTTTGGTACCAGGGATTGAACTCGGGTCCTTGCGCTTGCAAGGCAGGCCACCGAACCGCTGAGCTAAATCCCCAGACCTCTACCCTGCAGTTTTTAAAGTGAAGAAAGCTAGGCGTGGTGGCCCATGCCTATAATCCCAGCTATTCAAGAGGCTGAGGCAGGAAAACCCCAAATTCAAAGCCAGCCTGTGCAACTTAGCAAGACCCTGTCTCAAAATACATTTAAAAAAAAAAAAAAAAAAAAAACAGGCATGGTGGCACACACCTATAATCCCAGCACTAAGGAGGCTGAGGCAGGAGGATCGCTGTGAGTTTGAGACCAGCCTAGGCTACACAGTGAGTTCCAGATCAGTCTCAACTACATAGTGAGACCCTTCCAAAAAAAAAAAAAAAAAAAAAAAAGGAAATAAAGAAAACATCAAAATACATTTAAAAAATTTAAAAGGGTCAGAGATGTAGCTCAGCACTCCCTGGGTTCAATCTCCAGTACTGCAAAAGCAAACACAAACAAACAAAGAAACCATTAAACACCCACCCATATCTTTTACTGTAATGGATTTGCCCCTGATCAAGCAATCAAGCATTGAGAAAATCACCACTAAACCAAAGCCAAAATGGAAAAGGAAAACACTCATGAACATTGTTAGCTGGGCATGGTGGTGCACACCTATAATCCCAGCACTAAGGAGGCTGAGGCAGAAGAATTGCAGAGATATGGAGGCCAGCCTGGGCTACATAGTAGGTTGAAGGCCAACTTGAATTACAAGGCAGAACCAGGTTTTGTAAAAAAAAAAAAAAAAAAAAAAATCTGTCATTACTATGCACATATATTTGGGCAAGTCCACCACTACTGGCCATCTCATCTATAAATGTGGTGGGACTAACCAAAGAACCACTGAGATCCAGGCAATGGTGGTACACACCTATAATCCCAGCACTCAGGAGGCTGAGGCAGAAGAACTGCTCAAGTTTGAGGCCAACCTGGGGTACACAGTGATTACCTGGCCAGCCTGGACTACATAGTAAAAACCAGTCTCAGAAAACAAAACAAAAAAGAGACAAAAGAACCACTGAAAAATTTGAGAAAGAGGCTGCTGAGCAAGGCTCCTTGAAGTAAATCTGGGTTGCTAGGAAGGATGGTACACACCCACAATACAGTTATGGGGAGAGGCTGAGGCAGGAGGTTTCAAGCTGGGCAACTGAGCAAGATCCTGTCTCAATAAAAAACGGACAGATATGTAGCTCAGTGGCAGAGCACTTGCCTAGCAAGCTAGAGGTCCTGAGTTCAATACCCAGTACCTGCCCAACCAAAAAGTTTGAACTAAATGAAAGATGAGTATCACCACTGATAGCACCCTGAAGAAATGTGAGACCAGCTGTATCATGTGACTGTCAGATGCCCTACAACACACTTTATCAGAAACATGGTTTTAGTGCTGTCCTGATTACTGCTTCTTAGTGTTGTGAATTTGAACCTGGTATCTCCAAGGAAAAAAAAAAGCAGCCAGGCATGGTGGCACATACGGATCACCACAAATTGGAGGTCACCCTGGGCTAGTGAGTTCAAGCCAGCCCGAACTACACAGCAAGACCCTGTTTCAATAAACCAAAAATCAGAAGTATAGCCGAGCATTCCCTGGGTTCATTCTTCAGTACTGTACCCCACACACATGCACGTGCACACACACACACACACACACACACACACACACACAGGAAAGGAGAAGAGGAAGAGGAATTAGAAAAAAGTTAAAAGGTACAAAGAAAGCAATTTTTAAAATTATAATACATGGAACACAGAAAAGAGCAAAGTGCGAAATGCCATTCATAAGAATCATGCCACATCTTAAGATTCAAAAGATGAGGAATAAGCAAACATTCCTTATGAGGGTGTGGCTCAGTGGTAGAATGCCTGCCTAGATGCTCAATCCCAACAATGCAAACAAAACAAAACAAAACAAAAAAAACCCCACAAAATAATTAACCAGGCCAGTTTCAAAACTAATAACCTTCGTTCTCAGGTAAATAACTAGAATTACATATAGTCACATAACCAATTCAATTTACCATGCCCAAATTTGCCCCCAGCCTTGAAAAAAGAATGTGAGGAAGGCCAGTGCTAGCAGAATGTAGAAATCTTTGAAACTTTTACTTAGGGGAACAATTTAAAAGACTTACTGTGGGACCTGCATTTGAAGGTGATGATTCTTCTGTGCACAGAGACAAAACAGACAGGGAAGGCATGTGGGATGTCAGAGTTGGCACCTCTGTGCCACTATCCAAGTTCAAAGCTGAAAGCCCAAGAGCATGGTCCCCATTGATCTCACTGGCACTGCTTTGGGGAGAAGGCTTTAAGGAATTTCGGAACGTGCCACTGCGGAGGCAGGATGTGCTATGGAAAGTGCTCGCGAGCTTGACTGTCTTCTGACTGCTGTCATCAGAGTCAAGTTTGGGAAAGGACAGAGATCTGATATTGCTTACTGTAGGGATAGGAGGAAGGGACACTTTGGAAGACAGCGACATCTTTTCACAGTTGCCTAACTGTGGTAAAGTTATAAAGCCATTGGGTTTATGAAGAGGCTTGAAGTCCAGGGTTGCCTGCTCCAAGGACGCCAAGACCTCCTCATCCTGTAACACAGACCCAGAGCTGCCTCTGGGCAAGTTATTGTCCAATAACTGAGCCATAATGGGTCCAGTGGTTCCTACCAAAATGTTTCTCAGCTCCTCCTTCTCATCAATAGTTTTTAACTCCAGATTATCAAATGGGTCTTCTTCACATTCAAAGTCAGCAGGATTGAAATCGGCCTTTGTGTGAGGTGGGCTGAGAACTTTCTCTTTCATGGCACTACTGCTGACCCGAGTCGGAGTGAGGATGTTGTTGTGCTGTAAGCTGGCAAGGATAGGGTTAATAGGAGGTGGCATAGTGGCTGTACTGTGAGTCTTGGAGAAGCTCATTTTGCTGTCACCCTCTGGGCCACTCTTAGAATTCACTTTAGCTTCTGCTTCCTCAGCCTTGCTCTCTGCTTCCTGCTGGGCTTCTTGAATTTTCTTAACATCTTCAGCCCACTCAATTGTTTTCTTTTCCAAGGAGAAGTCATACTGCAAAGATACAGCAGAGAATGGAGGTATGAATCCAGGTGGCTGCCCTTCCCAACCCAGTTCACTCCTTCCTCACTTTTACAAAAGACAAATAGTCCAGGCAGCAATTAGGGCGTGTGCAATAATCCTCACTCAGGAAGACTGAAGCTTCCAAAGTCTTTATATGACTGAACCCACTACGCTCCCAGATTACTTCTAGAAATTAACTAGAGAGCTCCCACTGCTCCTAATCCCATATACTAGGCAAAATGGGCCTTGCCACTTCCTTTGGCCCCACTCTCTTTGAGCCATTTTCCTCCCTAGAATTATTTGAGGATCACACAATTTAGCCACTTCCTCTATATAAAGTTCTTCCCATGCTTTCTTCTAAAATCTTACAGCACTGGCAGAGCATGGTGGTTGCACAACAGTAATTCCAGCACTCAGGAGGCTGAGGCAGGAGGATCACTACAACTTCGAGGGCAGCCAGGGCCACACAGTAGTTCAAGGCCAGCCCAGAATACACAGCAGACCGTGTCTCAAAAAAAAAAACAAATAAAAATAATTTTTAAGGGGCCGGGGATTTAGCTCAGTGGTGCTATCACCTGCCTTGCAAGTTCAAGGTCCTGAGTTTGATCCCTGGTACCAAAAATAGTAATAATGATGATGATAAAACAACAATATTTAAATAAAATCTTACAGCATTTGTCTCTATTAAGTCATCTGATCCCAGATACATGTGACCACAGGTAGCTTTAATATGTAATTCCTAATATTTTCCCAACAGTATCACAAGCCTCTTGAGGGCAACAACCCTATTATAAACCTTTTTTGGATCTCTATTATCTAGCACTATGTCCTAAATATATCCCATGCCCAGTAATGACAACTTCTAACATTTGAGAATGCTAAGAAACATAAGGTATCTATCACACATAATAATAATAATAATAAATGGTGTATACTTTTTTTCACTCCTTAGATTTTTCTCAGCCCTTAAACTAATTCTTCTTATCCTTACTTTATTGGGGCTATGCCCACAGGTCATAAAGTTGCTATGTGGTAGAACCTGGCTTTGAACTCAAACAGTCTGCCTACAGATTCTATGGTCTTAAACCACTATCAACTAGAGAATAATGAACAGGTTGTACTCAAAATACAGGAAATCTAGACATGGGGCTAGGAGTGTGGGTAAGTGGTAAATTAAAAAAGGAAAAACACAGATATATGTAGATTAAGTTTTAACAGAGCAAACTGGACAAGTACTCTCTTTATGGTTCCTTAACAATAATGTAAGTAAAATTCAATTTACAAAACTTTTATTAACATATTTAAAAGTACAACTACTATATAAAACAAAATTCACACAGAAGAAAAAAGTCTCTGGCATTAGCTCTGAAGCACTAGAGCTAAACAATGTCTGTATGCATGTTAGAGACTGGAAATGGGGAAAATAGAAGAAAGAGGCCTAACATGTTAAGACAAGCTACCAAATGAAGAAATCCAACAAGAAGCTCTGGCCATGCTCAAGCGTTTAGCTTCAAACAGCACAGAGGAAGCCTAAAGTGCATACATCAAGATAATTTAAATCTCTGAGCCAGGTGCTGTGTCCTAAAAAGATAAATGGGGGACCACTGTGATTCCACCTCTGACGGAATAGTGAGAAGACAGCACTGGGCAAAGACTGCTGCTACCAACTGAGGGAAACCCATTTTTGCAACCCATTACCTCCAATAAAAACTACTGTGAGGCCAGAGATTTAGCTTAGTGGCACTGCGCCTGCCTCACAAGTGCAAGGTCCTGATTTCAATCTCTGGTACAAAAAACAAAAACTGCTATGCCCAACTTGCCACTACCTATAAACACAGGTCTCTTAAGTTTTACTTAAAGAATTGGAAATTTCTTTCCTTTTCTAGTAAATTTTTACTGAGTTTTTCTTTGGTTCTTCTTTTCTTTTCATTTTTGGTGGTAGTGGAAACCAAACTCAAGGCACTCCACCCTGAGCTTGCCCCCTACTCTTTTTTTGAGACAGGGTCTAAGTCACTAAGTTGCCCACGCTGACTTGTGATACTCCTGCCTCAGTCTCCCAGACTGCTGCGATTAAAGGCATGTGCCACCATGCCTTTTCTATTTGTTTCTACTAAACTAATGTAGAATACATGGAACCCTGAGAAAAACACACTGGGGGGAAAAAAGCAGAAATATTAAAGTAAACAGAATGATGTAGTTTGGGAGTATACTAATAACAGCAGCAAGCATTCATGAAGTACCAGAAACCAGCATAAGCATTATAATGCTGTTAAACAAAAAGTTCTCACAGGACCCAGTAATTCCACTCCTGTGCTTAAACCCAAAAGAACTGAAAACATATTACCACAAAAGCTTGTATATAAATGTTCACAGCAACATGATTCATAATACAGCAATCAAAAAAGTAGAAACTACCAAAATATCCGTCCACTGATGAATATACAAAATGTGGTATCCATACAAAGTCAGCCCATAAAAATGAAGTACTAAGATGTCACTTCATTCATATAGACAGATAAGCCCATAAAATATTATGCCTAAGTGAAACAAGCCAGTCACAAATGCTACATGCACATTGTTGCGACAGAAAGGAGCCCAATGGTTGCCAGGGGGTAGGGGGAGGGGATGAGGGAGTGACTGCTAGGGGTAATGGGGTTTCTTTTTAGAGAAAAGAAAATGTTCTGGAATTAAACAGCAATGATGTGCCAGGGATTTAGCTCAGTATTCCGCTGCCTGTCTCGAAAGCACAAGGACCAGAGTTTGATCCCCAATACCAAAAAAAAAAAAGCAATGCATTCACATAACTTTGAATATACTAAAAACCACTGAATTGTATAGCTTAAGAGGATAAATTTCATGGCATGTGAATTATAAATCAATAAGACTATTTTTAGGCCACTGTGTTCTCTCTTGCATGGATGGCCCACCCTCATGCTATAGAGTGTACTTCTTTTCCTACTTTTACTTAGCCCAAATTTGCTGTGCAGAGTGTGTTTCCTTTTCTACCTTTAATGAAACTTTGCTACCATTAAATATATGGTTTTTTTTTAAATATATATTTTTTGTTTGTTGTTTTTTTGGTACTGGGGATCAAACTCGGGTCCTTGTGCTTGTGAGGCAGGCGGCAGAACCACTGAGCTAAATCCCGGCCCTTAATATATATTTTTTAAATTCAAATAAAAGTAACTGCAGGCATGTAGCTCAGTGGTAAGAGTTCTTGCCTAGCATGCACAAGGCCCCAAAATAAATGAAATGGGGAAAAAAAACCCCACTGAACTTCTACACCATGATTATTCACAGCATACAGACTATGGAAGATAGAATACTTTTAAAGTAACATGGAAATAAAAGCCTTAGTGAAACCCCCAGAAACAAGATTTCTTTCCCAGCAAATTGTATTTTTAAAAAATCAAGCTCTTAAGTCAAAGGAAGATGTATCTGAGTAGTATACTGTATGGCAGTCTAAACCATAAGCACCTTTAAGATAGTGATTAAGGGCTTTATGTTTATCCTCAGTACCCAGCAAAGGATCTCTCAAAAGCAGGTAATCAATAAATGTGTATTAAAGGAAGAAGAAACACACAACTATTTGCTGCTTTCAAGAAGAAATTCAGTGATTTACATAACTTGAGTTTTGCTGCCGGGCGTGGTGGTGCACACCACCTGTAATCCCAGCGCTCGGGAGGCTGAGGCAGGAGGATCACTGTGAGTTCAAGACCAGCCTGGGCTACAGAGTAAGTTCCAGGTCAGTCTCAACTACATACTGAGACCCTGTCTCAAAAAACCAAAAAATTTAGGAGGCTGAGGCAGGAGGATCGCTATCAGTTTGAGACCAGCCTGAGCTACATAGTGAGTTCCAGGTCAGTCTCAACTACATATTGAGACCCTGTCTCAAAAAACCAAAAAAAAAAAAAAAAAACCAAAAAATTTATGTCCCCCAATCATGTTAGTGCATAAAATCAAGTGCCTTTTTGATTGGAAATTCTACTGGTAATTTGTCCCACAGATGTGAAAAAAGGAGATGAAGGCTGCTATGGCTTCAAAAAAAAAAAAAAAAAAAAACAAAATATAAACTGAGTTGTTGTATTTTTTTTTGGTACAGGGGATCGACCTCGGACCCTGCACTTGCAAAGCAGGCAGCGGAATCACTGAGAGAAATCCCTGGCCCTACACAAACTGAGTTTTAAAGATGAGAAATCATATTGTTATCAGTACTGTACACAAAGAGAAGTAATTTAATGGTTACTCACTGTTACCAATAAAAAAATTATCAGGCAAACAGAATAAGGAAAAACTTTATAAAGTAATCCATTATTTCTTCTAGGCCAATGAAATCGCCACTCACAAGAAGAGTATCATATTCAAAAATATCTAATGATGATGGCATTCATGTAATCACAGCACTGGGGAGACTGAGGCAGGAGGACTGCCATGAGTTTGAGGCCAACCTGGGTGAGGATGAACTACATAGCAAGACCATGTCTCACAAAAATTTTTAAAAAACCTAAGCTGTTCATCATTATTGGCCATTAAGGAAATGCAAATCAAATCCCAAATGAGAGACAATTTCACACCCATAAAATGTATTAAATAAAAAAAGACAAGGGTTGGGACATAGCTCAGTGGTAGAGCATCTGCCTAGCATGCACAAGGTCCTGGTTTAATCCTCAGCACCAGAAGAGTCAGAGAAGACACTTAAGAGTTGGCAAGAATGTAGGGAAACTGGAACCAGCCTGCAGTACATGTGGGAATGCAAAATGCTGTTGCTAACCAGTGTGGAATATAGTCTTACAGTTCCTCAAATCGTTAAGAAGCCCTTGAGGAAATAGCGTTTAAACACAGTCTAAAAGAGTAAGTAGATTTTAGTAGATAGCTGTTAGTATGAGAAACAGAAGAATATTGCAGGTAGAGATAGTAGCTCATGGAGAAAAGCAGGATACCATATAAGATAACTCCACAAATTACTGGTAACCTGGTTTGGAGGGAACAAGGAGAGGAACTAAGGTGTTCTATCATAACCCTTATGCCCATACTTAATACAATAATGACTGATGAATCAGTGCATATGTCTGAATAGTCTTGAACAGGTATGTGACAATTTATAATTTTAAGAATATCCTTCTAGAAACAATGTGGGAAAGTAGAAGGAAAATGTTGCCAGCAGAGGGGTCAATTAAAGAGGCTACTGCAATTGCCCAGGTGAAAAATAAGGTAGGGCTGAAACAGAATGAGAGACATAGCAAAAGAAAAATATTATCTAACTTTAGAGACAGAGAAGATAATAACATTAATAAAGAGAAAAGAGGCAAATAAGCAAGCTAGATGGGCAATGAGGACTTGTTTTGTTCAAGGCAGAGAGCCCCAGAAATATACAATCTAACATATCAAACAAGTGTATAAAACACACATATAAACAGCCATGTGATGTGTGTGCACATATGTATGTGTGTACATATGTAACAAACAGTGTGGGCTAGGCAATAACAAGAGCTATGAGAAATACACATAAGATGTAGAAGATCTTTTGCTATTTCACTATATATCAAATTCTTATTCTTTAATTTTTAAACGCACTAAACTTTAACTAAAAATCACCACTTACCTGTACTTCTCTGACAACCTGCAAACAATCAGGCAAGGAGAAGCCAATAGGTAGACCAACTTTAGCTGGTGTTTTGAATTTGTCTCCTATCTTAAATGGGACATCATCAAGGTAACTGAAAGTCCCTATAATCAAAAATAAAGTAAAAAATATCAGCAAAGAACTTTATTATTTGTTTTGCTATAATCTTATGACTATGGATACACATTAATTTATGCTATCCTAAGACTAGAAGTTACAAAAAGTTCCTGTTCCAGCCTCTTACCTTCTCCTGATCCTAGATCTCTGAGGAAATAGAACTTTAGTCTACTTGATTTTACTGGAGTTTTCAATTTTATTTAGTTTAAGTGTCAAAGGACTCACAACAGCCTAAAAGGCTTCCCCATGGCCCACAAGTTCTGCCCTCATGTCCTAAAGTCATATTCTGGCTCAGCGCACTAAGACATGGAGACCTCTGTTCTCAATGATGACAGTTTCAACTAGCCAAAAAAATTCTGTACTGGCTATTCCTTCTCTCTGGAATGCTCTTTCCCTGGCTATGCACCTCATTCTTTCACTTCCTTCAAATCTTTGTTCACACATTACCTTTCCACTGAGGCTTACCTCAATACTTAAAATTACTGCCCTACCCTCACTATAATACTTACATCTCACCATCTAACTTTTCCTCACAACATTTACCACCTTCTAATCATATTATAACTGACTTTTTATTATATTTATTATCTATCTTGCTTGGTGGAATATTAAATTTTACTCTCCCTTATTAATGATGTAGTCACAATCCTACACAGTAATACCTGACACATATCAGACATTGGATATTACTACTGAGTCAATAAGTAGTCTCCTCACAATGGAGCCTCCTTTATTTGGAGTTCTCCAGGTTTAGTTTTTAGTATAAAAACTAATCTATTACATTCTAGAACCATGTGCAGGTTCTACTGTGGGCATGCTGGGGATCAAACCCATGGCCTCTCATATACGAAGCACAAACTCTACCACTGACCACCACCCCCAGTGGAGACATATTTAAGCAGCATAGCACTTAAAAGGGAAAAGGATAACCAGACAAAATCATGGGAATCTGAACAGAACTGTCAAGAAGTCATAAGCTATGCACAACTAAACGGCTTTAATCCTTCAGTGGTTCTCTACCTATCCTAAATGAACAACAGAGAAAGACCAGGAATGATAATCAACTTTAGTGTCACAGAAAAAGAAAGTACCTCTTGTATATCACTCTTACTAGCTAGTGCTATATTCCAAACTGGACTAATCCTTTTCTGAACTAATCTATAGAGAACTAACGTATTGGCAGAACCATCATGGACAATAAACACTGTTGATAAAATAAATTTTGCTTTTTCAGTGTGGGGTGTAGTGGTGCACTCTTATAATCCCAGCACTCAGAAGGCTGGGAAGGATCACTGAGAGTTCAAGGCCAGCCTGAATTATAGAGGAAGACCTTGTCTCAAAAAAACAAAAATTAACTGATTACTTTTGCTTTTGCAGTATTAGCAGCTAGTAAAACAAAGTTTATATACGGACTCTACACTACCACTGCATTTTCTTGGGTATTCATGAACAAAGAATAAAGCAATTCCATGAAGACACCTTTTGGTCTAAGGACTTTTCAGATGAAGACTTATCAAATCAAAATACATTTGATATTGTCTCATTATTTCTATTTCCTAAGACAGACATTCTTCTGATACCAAAAATACTCTACCAAGAAAGCCTCTGCTCCTTATCCTTAAGGGAAAGAAGCCTCTCTTTCCCATCTAACTTTTATCAAAAATTTAAACAAGTTGGGCATGGTGACCTATACCTGTAATCCCAGCAGCATTCTGGCAGGCTGAGGCAAGAGGATCCAAATCCAACCTAGGCAACTTAGTGATTTATGAGACCTTGTCTCAAAATGGAAAATTTTTTTTTTTAATTTTATTGAGTTTATTGGTACATTTAGGGATACAGTACAGTTACATTCATTGTTGGGATCATGTACCTTTACATGTCAAGTCTTGATTCTCATTTTTTCCCCTTACCTCTGACCTCCCTTCACCCCCTCCTCCCCTCCCCATCTACAAACACTTTATTTTCATCTTTTCATTCTCTCACATTTTTTTTTCCCTTTTTGTTCTTCCCCTATGCATCACACCTTCGCTACACCTTTAGCTCCTTTCTTCCCATTTCTAAATGTCAGTAATCTTATTAGAATCTTATGCATTGTTGCAGAATATTCACACCAGGGAAACTATTTGGTATTTACACATGTGGGACTTATTTATTTTACTTAGGAGTATATCTTCAATATGTATCCATCAAAATGGAAAATTTTAAGGGCCAGGGATTTATAGCTCAGTGCCGCTACCTACCTCACAAGCAGAAGGTCCTAAATTCAATCCCCAGTACCCAAAAAAAAAAATTTTGTAAAGGGACTCAGGATATAGCTCAATGCAATGGCCCTGTGTTCAATCCCTAATACTCTCCTCCCAAAAAAGAGAAAAACTGAACTCTCACTCATACAACTAGCAAATTAATTCCACAACTATCTTCCATTTAGTGATTTTTCTGTGGCATAATCCCAAATTATTAACACTCAAGGAAATTTTCTAAATGTGATCATTCTTTTATAGGTGCTATTTTCTCAATTTTAATGCCTATCATTATCCTTACCTCTGTTTATTTACATATTCATAGTTCCTTAAGAATAAACTTAAGAACAATTCCCTTTTCATTCTCAGATCACTCAGTTCATACCACCTCCTCAGGACTATTTAATGATTTATTTCCTGGGGGTGGGGGTGTAACTCAGTGGCAGAGTACTCACCTAGCATGCACAAGACCCTGGACTGGAAGGAAAAGCAGAAGGCAGGAAGTGAAGTGGGGGGAGGAGAGAAGAGAAAAGAAGTGGAAAGGAAAACAAAATTTGCTTATTCTCTCCCAGGGACTCTAAGCAAAAATATGAGCTTTCCTTAACAGTGGAGAAATACTTCATATCTATATCTTCTAAATAAAGATAACATGTGGCAGATGAGAGTTGAATAAAGAACAAAGAAGATACACTTTTATACTTTTATTCCACTGTCACCCCTCCCCAACTTTCATTTGATTGATTTTTTTTTAATTCAAAATGAATTGCCAAAAATGAGATGTATTCATAAAAGGGTGTTTTGAAAAAATAAAAAAAAAATTAAAGGGTGTTTTGTTTTTTTGGTACCAGGGATTGAACTCAGGACCTTGTGCTTGAGGCAGGTGGTGGCATCACTGAGCTAAATCCCCAGCCCATAAAAGCATATTTTTTAAACACAGTACTATACAAAACACATGCACATGTCTAAGATTCTGGATAAAGTCATAAAAATATATCAGGTGACCTACCACCACCAAAATAAAAAATAGCAGGTGCCATCACAGCTTGCCAACTGTTTTTGTTAACATTGGAACCCTCTAGGCACTTATAAGAAGGTGAACAGCAAAGTGCTTTTTAATTTTAAAAATTTATCTGTTTTCTATGATAACAGAAATGTTACTGAAAGATTCTAATTTTTGTTAGGGCCCTGATAATCTGGAAACAAAGCTGGAATTGTAGCACTAAAAAGAGTTAGAATTTAAGTTCAAATTAAGTCTTTTGCTAAGCATGGTAGCACATGCAGCAGTCAGAAGACTGACACAGTAAGATAGACTGCTGTAAGTTCGAGGCCAGCCTGGGCTACAAAGTGAGTTCCTACAGAGACCTACTGAGTTACCTACCTACTGAGACTGCCTCAAAAAAAAATTTTTTTTTCATTTAGTTAAACTGGATCATCTGTGTGACATAACTACTAGGAAAAAATCTTATATGTAATAACAAACATTTGATATATAAATGTAAGAAAATTTGACTACAACAATACTAACTGTATTTCCTAAAAGAACAGTCCTACTGTAGATTGGTGGTTGGGAGTTGGATAGGAGGGGTAGAATGGGCTCCCACAAAAAAGTAAGGATATGCTAAGGATATCTGAGCCAAATAAGAATGTTCTTCAAAAAAGATGTTTTAAGTCAGGCATAACTGCATGCCTGTAACTCATGCCTGTAACTATTCAAGAGGCTGAAACAGGAGGATCACGAGTTCAAGGCTAGATTGAGCCATTTAAAGAGTCCCTGTCTCAAAATTTAAAAAATAAAATCCAAAATTTAAAAGACTGAGGATATAGCTCAGTGGCAGAGTACCAAAGTACCATACCCCACCCCCGCAAAAAAGGAGTTCTGCTTCCTCACCTAACTTTCCATTAGGAAACTACTGCATTGTGATTTACCTCAACAGACTCATATTCTATAAATTGAACTAGGTCTAGGCTTAGGGACAGGTAAGATCAGGGAGCACACCTTCAAACATCTGCTGCTTCCTTTTATTCCCACCTATTACATACAGGGACCTGCTTTAAAAAGTAGTTTCTTTTACTAACAAAGCCAATGCTAAGGTGACCTTTTAAAGGCCTTAGTCCTTTAAAAGTTCTATTAACAGGTAATGAGCAACAGTGTGACTACTGGGAGGAGGAGATGAAGTATTTAGAAGAACAGCTGGGGATAGAACTGAGTGGTAAAGCACTTGACTACCATGCTCAAGTCCCTGGATTAAATCTCCAGTACCGCAAAACAAAAATAAACAACAAAAAAAAAGACATGCTAAAAGAAAGAAACTTTTTTGAATAATGAAGACCACCATAAGTACCATTAATGATAATCCTGTGAAAATTAGAAAAAATATTTTTCTCAATTTTTGGTTCTTTTGGTAGTTCTGAGGATAGAAACCTGAACTTTGTACATGCTAGGTAAACACTCTACCTCTAAGCTACATCCTCCATAGGTTAGCCAGGCTGGCCTTGAACTCCAGATCCTCTTACCTCAGCCTTCCAGATAGTTGAGATTATAGGCATGTGCCACCATACCAGGCTAGAAATCATCTACTTTTATCCATCCTATCAGAATATCTACTTAAAACTATCAATTTCTTTCATTTCTCAATTTAATTTTTTTTCAGCTTTAATTGAGTTTACTGGTACATTTTAGGTATACAGTACAGTTACATTCATTGTTGGGATCTTGTACCTCTACATGACAGGTCTTGGTTCTCATT